CAGATGCACACAGGCTCATGCTGGCAGTGCTGACCATGCACGTAGGGGACTTGTAGCCACAAGTTTTGTATGTATCCCACACTATACAGTTTCCAAAACTTTGCACATGCATTAGCTTACTTTCTCCTGTGGCAGGCCTGCAGAGGTAGGCAGAACAGGTAGAAGCAGAGATTAGCAATATTGACAGGTGAGAGAACCCCTAGAGGCCATCTGAACCAAAGCCCACATACCACAGGTAGGAAAACTGTGGCTCAGAGAGGGCAAGCCACTTGACCGGGATCACTCAGGTAGCTTTTCGCGGAACTCAGACATGAGTTAAGTGCTCCTTATTCTTAGTCCAAGGGTCTTTCGGGAATCCCTCTGACTCTAACAACAACAACAGCAATAGCAGTGCAATATGTGAGATACTACCACCATTTATAGTCGTAAAGATGGTTATTTGAAAAATCGCTGTAATCATCTCTTCTCTTTGAATTCTTTGAAGTAAGGACCTTAATACCGGGGGTGCCAAAAAATGTATACACATTTTTAAAAATGTTATCAATGTATTCCTTTTCAAAGTTGAATTGAATTACAGTAGCAATGTGTAAGTTGCAGAAGTCAAACGTGACTTGTATTCATCTTTTGTTATCGGTATATATTGAGTATTACAATTATAATACAGATTTTTCCTTTCTTAAAATGTGTATACATTTTTGGCACCCTCTGCATTTATGTTATGATATGTTATTTAACCTAAACATATGTTGTTTGAACATCTACTATATGTCAGGTATAATATTGGCCTCTGAAAGGAGTACCCACACACACGGACACACACACATACATGCACACGCACTGCTCCTCTCGCCTCTGGTGTGAAGCCTTTCTCAAATGCCTTGCACGAAGAATTCCTTCCTGACACCCTTGCATATTGCCCTCTCGAGATGGTTAGCATGTCAAGCAGAGTGAGTTCTCCATCAGAAGGAACTTTACCTTTTATCCTTTCTAGATCCTAGTGACTGGTATATCATGGTTATTCAATACAGGTTAGTAGAACAAAATGCAGGAAATCCACAAAAGAGACTCTGCCACTTGCTAACTGTGGCCTTGGACAAGTCACTTAACCTCCTTGTGTCTATTTCCTCATCTGTCAAACGTGTAACATGCTAAATAATCCCTGCCTCTTTAGTCCGTGGTACAAGAAGACTGTTATCACTTGGTAAATATTGGTATTATTTATTATTATTATTATTATTATTTCACACATAGAAACTTCAGAGACTAAAAATATCTCATATTAACCAGTTACTATGTACAAGGCACTGGAGATACAAACTTGAAGAAGACAAGGTTTGGGAAAACATACGAGTTACTTGAAACAAAAGCCATTCAGATAGCTCTGTGTTAGTGAGTATGGGATGCATTTGAGATTAGCAGATAATGGAATTCAGAGTGTGTTCTGCCCCTCAGTGTGAGGGGTACCCAGTTTCTGTTTCTAAGTCAGGCAATGTGGCACCACTCACAATTTGTTTTGGATTCACTAACGTCTTAGCCATGAGCCAAAGTATGAGTAATATGGCTGGAAAATAATTGTTGGTGGAAAATGGGCCCTTTCTGATTTTTCTGAATTTCACTATAATCACATTAATGTAAGTGCCTGCCCCAATTGTTATAAATTCCGTAGAATGCTCTATTGATCATGAAACCTATTCTTTGTCCAAATCCTGAAACATAAAACATCATTACTTACTTAGGCCTTTCTCCGTTAACCGTGGTAGTCAACCTTACAAAGGGGAGTCCCACATGATATAGCAGAAGGAGTGTGTATTTTGGAACCGGTCACCAGCATTCACTTGTGACTAAAGTGAGCATGTGTGTAAGTGTCCCCATGTCTTGGAGCCTCCTAGACCTTCACTTCCCAGTGGGGATATGGATTCCTGCTTTGTTCTTCTGTTGGGGAGGATCAAAGATGCCCAGAGATGGAGTTTTAGACCAAGTATGCACGCATGCGTGTGTGTATAGTTGTTAATGGAAAAGTGATGCTTGATGTTGAGTACAGGTGCTCAGCACTGGAGCCTGCTGTAAAAGCTATGGCAATACTTTGGAGCACATGCTCATCCCTACCTGATGGACAGCTAAAGGATTAGTGTAGTTGGATAAGAGTGCATGGGTATACTTATCTCGGGAAATAGCAAGAACATAAAAATAGATTAATATCCTTCAAGTGTGAATGAAAAGGATGACAATGGAAAACCTGCTGTGAGCTTTCTGCACTTTACAGGTCTAACTTATTTTGAGAGGTAAAAGAGTTTGCTGCAATAGACCTTGACGAAGATATCCTTTCAGGGAATCAGATTCCGTTCAACCACATCCTCCCGTTCTTAATCAAATGCATCGATGGTACCCTGGAATAAGCTTGCCATTTCATGAAATCTCACATTTTCAAATACAGAGAATCAATTGTAATTAAACATGCAAACGTGTATGCAGTTCCGTGTGGACTGGTCAGCAGGTCAGTGCACTCTGATGGTAATTCAAGATAATCAGATTCTGCCAGAGTAAATACGGAAGACCTGGGGGCGAAGGTACAGCTGTGAGAAGTGAGTTCATTCATCAGGTGTCTGAAACACCTTTGAGTCAACCCAGAGACACAGGTTGAAAGCCAGTGGTGAAAAGGGTTACAACGGAGCCTCTCATTGATCGAGGCCTACTCTGTAGCCACTAAAAAGAGACTATACGCCTATCCCAGGTTGGCGTTTACTGCCCCTTGGCTGACTGGCTAAATAGGATCTACGCCTTTTAAATGATGTGAGTAACTTTGGAGAAGACCAGCCTTAACCAGGGTGAAAAACAATCTGAAATTTGAAAGAAATCACTGAGTATTTTAAAGACACAGAGCAATTGGAATTCAGCTGTAAACTGTTGTCACATAGAGTTACTTTGGGCCAGTTTCTTTTTTATTGGGGAATTGGGGGGATGGGAACAGTGATGGGGAATTGGGGGAAGGGGAACAGACAAGTTGCTGTCCTTTTGTTCTTCAGTCTAGTTGTGGAGGACATTGCTTCACTGGCCCAAGTTGGCACCATCATTGCGCTCTTCCCAGGTGAGGCAGATCAGTCGCCAGCTTCTGGACGGCCGCTCACTGCGGCTGCTGGCCGCTCACGCTGGCTGCTGGCTACACACGGTAGCCCATGGCAACCCACTGCCACAGGGGCTGCAGTCCACGCCGTTACCGGCGGCGACTCACGGCAGCCCAGCTCCAGGTTGAGCTGTTGTTCACCGTCTTAGCTGTAAAGGGCAGTGTCACTGGCCCTCATATGTGGGATCTGAACCGGGGCCCTCTGGCGTCCCAAGCCAGTTCTTAACCATTGCGCCACTCAGCCGGCCCTGGGCCAGTTTTGATGAAATGAAAAAATGGCATTTGTCAGGAGCATCGTCAACTGCATACAAATGCACAACTTAAAAAACACTTGGAAGTATTCTCTTAAGTAGGTTAAGCATCCCCTCAAAATCTTGTATGCATTTTTAATGTCCTTACCGCCTCCTTTTAAATAGGGCTAGGTAACATCCAATCTGTGTCAGCGCTAGTCTGAATCATACTTACAAATTCTGCTTTGGTGGTGCCATGGAGAATGAATCTGTGAAGTATCTCCTTGCATTACAGCTCTTTGTACATCAAAGACTCTTTTCGAACTGGGTAATTATAGAAGAAGAAAAAACCATATTTTAGTGCTACCTGAGAGTTCTTATTAATATTACCTTTGAAATGACTAATTATGTTACCCAGAAAGATTGGAGCGAAGTATTATGTAACTGACTTGTTAAAAAGGCCTTTCATAGACTGTCAGGCCCTCTACCCCTCCTCAAAGCGCTCCTGTACTTCCGTCATTACACTGATTTTCTGTTTAATGTTTATATTCCAAAATGTTTGATGAATCCAAACACATGCTGGCCCCGCCCTGCTTCACCAATTCTGTCATCTCTCTGGGGCTGGGATGTTGAGCGTGTGATTTAATTATCCTCACTCTTCAGGTAATGCGTGTTGGCCACAAGCCCTAAGACTCAAGCACGATTGAAACAGCACCTCCTTTCAAACGAAGTGCTTGAAAGCACTGAGAAGGTGCACCTGCTGATAACAGAGAGTGGGAGAGAGCCTGCGGGGCTTTTCCTGCATTGAGACTTGAACTCACAAACACACCATGTGTATGTATGGCTGGGCAGAACAGAACTCTCAATCCCATTGTAACCTTCTCCACAAATGACAAAGCATGCTTTTCAGCTGCCTCATCTTCGCATGGGTAAAGCAATAGCATGTGTGTAACCTTCTCATTGCCTATGAGGCTATGTCAAGAGAAATGAGTATCAAAGTATCCAGAACGAGGGTGGTTACAGTGCTGGTCCCCCGCCCCCCAGCTGGCAGATCACACCTCAAATAGGATACCATGAGTTAGAAGAGCCCTAGGCAATCAGGACTCCCTCCCGGGAGCACCTGAGATAGTGACAGAATACAGAAGTCAAGCCGTAGAAGACAAGTTGAACGTTCCCAACAAATGAACAAGCCTGTGCGCATGTCTCAGCATGGAGGAAAGACAACGCCAGAGAATAGAATGGCTGCCTTTCAACAGCCGAAGGCTTGTCACGCGAAAGAAGAGGAGATGTGTCCTGTGAAGCTCCAAAGTATGATCTATAGGCAGGAGCTCCCGGGAGACAGGGGTCTTGCTCACAGCTAGGAAAGATAATCTGATCAGGCTGTCTCAACATGGGACAGGCTGCTTCTAGCAGGAGTGAGCTCCCTGTCACTGGCAATGGCCAAGTGGCTGCTGGATGGCCCTTTGAATTGCGGAGAGGCTTCAGCATCACTGTGAAACAGGGGAATGGGCCAAATGACTTTGAGCTCCTCTGAAAACAATTAGGCTCATTAAGTTGGTATTTATAAAGGGTCTACTATGTTTACTGTCAAACAGGTGATTAATTGTCTAAGCGCCCACAAATAACGTTACTTTGTTTTTCCTCATCAGGAGATGACCCATCCCTGGCCTACTGCTCTCACTGCCATGCATACTCCTGGAAACTCTGAGCAGAATACATTTTCCATCCCCGGACAGGTCAGTTATCTCCCTTCCTCCATTTTCCTTTATCCTATTTCAATTATGCCAAACTTCCGATGGGATTTCGAAAATGTAAAATGGCCTTGGTCTTCTAGTGCCATCAAATCTGGACACTTTCTTGCTCCTTGAGATGTCAATATAAATACGTTTTTATTGTGAGTCTTTAGGAGAATATACTCTTAGACGTTGGCATGAGTTATCATATTCCCTAGAGCATTGCCACTGACCCAGTTACTGTACCCAGAGCTGATCAATCGGAGAGAAGAATGAGCGTATCCCTTAAGAAAGACCAAATAGATGATGGAACAACATCTGAATTTTAAAAAAATTAAAATAAAACCCTAATGGATCCATTTTCATTTTTTACATCACCTTCCACTCCTTACTCACAAGCAGACAGATCTTTACACACCAACACATCATATTGACAAAACTTTTTCTTTTACAGTTCTGTTGTCGAATGTTTAATATATTTTGTCCCCACCTACTCCCAGTAAAATTTTGTTCTCACCATCAGTTTTTTAAAATGCCTAAGTAGACATGGCTATTTTAATAACACCTCCTTTAAAGAAGAAAAAATAATGTCTTCCTCCCTTCCTTCCTTCCAATTAACCATCCATCCATCCATCCATCCATTGAGAAACCACTTACTGAGAATATACAGTAGGCTTACCATTAGGGATGAAGAATAGCCTTTTATGTGTTATCAGCTAAACAACAAAGCAATGTAGAAAGTATCTTCATAGAGAATAGAAGGCTCATAGAAGTATGTTACACTCCCTGGAGCATTGAGGAGGTGCTCACAGAGGTGACAGCATGTGGAGTATGCTTATGACATTGACAGGTGGAGAAGGGCCAAGAGAAAAATACTTCATGCAGAAGAACAGGATGGGCAAAGTCATGACAAGATGAGGGATCATGGTATGATCCATGTTGACATGAGGTCCTGAGTGGGCTGGGTCAGAGTTTGTGTGATGGGGAGTAGAGAGAGATGAACCCTGGGCAGATAAGTACACATCTGTGAAATGCCCTGAATGCCAGCCAAGGTATTTGGACTTTATTTGTAGAAAGAGAAAACCAGTGAGGGCCCTTAGTTTTTAGGATCATGATTTCGACAATAGCATTGGCCTAAGCTGTGTTATCCCCTCCCACCTTTGAAAGGGGTCAGAACTAAGTGAGCAGCAGCCCTCTCTGTCCCTGTCCCTGTGTGTGTCATTCCCTCCTGTATCCCCACTCTCCCTCCTTAGGCTGTCCCGGGCCTGGTATCCTTCTTCCTAGCATCCCAGCCAAGGGACCCATTCATCCTTTTCAGACACTGGATCCAACATTTGTACAGCAATTGCAGTGTTTTCAGCTGTGTCCTGTGATTTATAATTTGTGCAAGTCACAATTTTGACATTTACAAGTGTATACAATAGAACTGCTTATTTAAATGGGCTTTTATAGTTAATGTAAAATTTGGAATCAGTAATGATTAGCATTTTCTAACAATTATCTGTGCTACCATCAACTCTATGATAAAGGTAGACGCAAGTGGGGTAAAATGGTGAAACTAGGATGGCTGCACACACACTCCTTTGTTTTGCTTGGTCCCTGCCAAAATGTTGGTTTGAAAGGAAAGGACATTTTAAATAACAGTAATAACATCAACAAGACATAGAATGCTGTGGTGTGCCTCGCCTCCTTCTAAACACTTAATATAGTAAATAATTCAACCATCACTATAACCAAAGGAAATTGGTAATTTGACTACCCCCAGTTGACAGAGGAGGAAACTGAGGCATAAAGTCACATGCTCAGACTCACCCAGCTAATAAATGAAGGAACCAACCTTTAGATCTAGGTGTTCTAGAATTTTATTTTTATTTATTTATTTTTTATCACAGACATTTAAAGATGCCACAGTTAAAATCCCATCTTCCAAAACATGGGTACGTTCAGTAATACATGTAACCAGGGTGATGGTCCTTTCCTCAGTGCTTGCACCCGAACTAGGTGACACCACCCTCTCAGAAAGCATTCATCCATTTTTTTTACATCCATGGCCGAGCTTGCGGGCCTGGCTGCTGATAATCCTGGCTATTCCATTTGCTGGCTATGTGGTTCTGTTCAAATTAAGTTCTTCTGAGCCTCAGTTTCCCCATGTGTACTGTGTGTGTACTATATAATCCCAATGGATTTTTTCAGGTCAAGTAATCTATGATTCTATGAACTTATAAAAACACATGCAGTTGAACATTCTCAACTTACTTAAGTTTACTTATGCATCTCAAATTGAAACTGCCATGTTTTCTCACAGAGAATGGAAAAAACTTCAAGGAAGGGAGTACGTGGCTAAGCAGAATTGAGGGAGCTAATAATGCCTCTGGGGAAGTTCAGTAAAAGCTTCATGGAAATAAAACTCCTTTAGAAGGAGGTTGGGAAACTGCAGCAAACTGGTTTTTAGGTTTTTAAATGGTTAAGATTTCAGAAGAAAAAGGATATGAATATTATGAGTCATATGAGTGATATGAAATAATATGAGTATGAGTGATATGAATTTCAAATTTTCATCTCTATAAATCAAGCTTTCTTGGAATCCAATCACACTAATTCATTTACATATTATCTATGACTGCTTCCACCCTACAATGGCAGAATTGCATTGTTATGACAGAGACTCTATGCCCCCTAAAGCCTAACATATTTACTATCTGGCACTTTACAGAAAAGTTTGCTGCCCCCTGCACTAGAATCTAGATTCTATATAAGCCTCTGATTAGAAGTTTATCATCAAGGCTATTAGTTATTTAAAATAACCTCACATAAGTTTGTGAAAACAAGTTGGCATCATTATATTCTATATTAAAATTTCCTACATGATATGTCTATGAAAGAGATGCACAGATCAAAGTGAGGCATTTTTTTTGAAAGTTTGTATTATGTGCATCAACAATTAGTGCATGAACAATGCATATGCTTTCCAAAACCAAGCTATTTCTAATTGGGGTTGGGTAGGTCTATGGAGAGTATTGGGTAATATCCCAAAGTGTTTCCTTTGTTTGGAATTCTGATTTTAAAGAGTCTTACCCAGCATAACATTCAACACTGTGTCAAGAATACATAACACCAGTGACTCGTATTTAGTAAATAATGTAACACTCCAGTTTGTTTCAGTCCGCACTACCTCGCTGCCCTGCATGACTGATTGCTTGGGTCTAAAGTCCAAAATCCTTGGATGTAGGTTAAAAATTCAGTCCAGATTTCTGGGAGCATGTTTCACTCTCTAATCAGATACTTGGTTTATTTGACTTTGGAACTTGGCATTTGATTCATAAAGCCTGAACTTGCCCTCTGCAATTATAATGAAGTCCCTTTAAAAACATAACAGGTAGAAATTTTGGTATATAGTTAAGGACATATAAATGGTTAACCACTTTTTTTTTTTGGCACTCTGAGAAATGAGGTGTTCAGATAATTGAAATTCTTGGATGACTAGAGTTTACCCTTCCATTGAAATCATGTAATAACAATCATTTTGAAATGTAATTAATACTTTCCTGACTTCTTATAAAAATTATACTGAACATGCTTTGGTCTTTCTTGATCACTTAGACATTATTATGAGTATCAATGATTGCCCTATGCTGTAATAGTATACTATGCCATCATTGTGCCCTCGGGAGCTATTAAGATGGGTAGGAATGCTTGCTTCTTTATTAAATGGCCATAGACTATTGTGTTTTTTCAGTTCTGACTTTTCTCTGTCATTTTCTTTGGCTCCATGTGCTTTCGCTTTTCATGTCTCAGTGTTCCTAGTGGCTGTCCCTCTAGAAGTGTTTCCACTTCCTCGCCCACTATGATTTGCTAAGGAGTGGGAATCAAATGGCCAAGTTTATTCAAGTTCTTTGTCATAAGTCAATTCTCTCCCAGTGAGGATACAGAAGCCTTCGAGCAGCACATGGGCTTTGTGACAGTGCTTTAGTTGGGAGGCATTTTCCATCTCTTGTGGACTCTCTGATGGTCTTCTGAAATAGTGGTCCTGCCAGACCATAGTCTCTTGGGCAGCAGAATTGCGCTACATAGGCTGAAAACTTCACTTTTGATTAAAACACAATGTTATCATTCTTGCTCACTTCTTTTGAATATCAATTATGCTGCGCTCCTGTTTTTACTCTATCGGGTGGCAAGATTAGGCTGAAAGGTAGATTATTTGCAGCAGTGACTAATATCACCAATTCTTGTATTTCCTTGAATTCATTGCTCCAGTTTTGGAGCTGGTTGCTGTGCAGCCGATATTCCCTTTTCCGTCCATGTAGTGCTGTGCATGCCTGTACAGCGCTGTAGTGCTGCTGTCTGCAAGCTTTGTCAGAATCCAGAAAGGCTGATGCGTGCAAATCCTGATTTCCCAAAACAGTGAATGAATTGTGTGTAGGGTGACTCCCAAATCCCTTTAAATAATGCGCTCCAGTAGCATATTTCCAATTGCTTCCTATACTACACCAAATTTGTAATGAAGTTTTAAGAACACTTCTCTTGTGAAGATGACATACATCTATTGCGTATACATTGCAATTAGAGTAGAAAATTGGAGTTGTTCCTATAAAACGGAACAACGGAGCAACTCTAATTATGGTCTTGTTTACACTTCTACCAAAACCATTATTATTTGTTTGTTTGAACCAAGTCCCCTTTACTTCCTTAGAGGCATCATTGCCTAGCTAAGTGAGAAATTACACACTTGAATTTGACACATGGGGGTCATTTGTTCCCATGTTGCACAGATTTCCAAATAGATACCAGTCTGACATAATTGAGAAAATGGCAGTTATGGTCATGTTGCAGCAGGTTTGGCTAGCAAATGTTTATCCTTCAAACAGAGCTACAGACAGAAGCCTAATTAATGGAATTGTTAACAGTGGTTTCCTATTTGCAAACATTAGTCAAGTTATATCTTCAACAATAACACATATGCCCAGATATGCCTTTTGTTCCCTTTGATATATTTAACTAATGATTGTATTTTATATGTTCTTCCTTATAGGAATCCCAACATCTGACTGCAGGATTCACCTTACAGAGTAGGTATTTTTAAAAAATTCTTCTTAGTGCAAGCATTCACATCTTCTCCTCTCTCTCCCTCACCCTCTTCTCTTTCCTACCTACTATTACTGAGACATAAAATAACAATAACATGAAGTCATATGGTGATACATCCAATTGGTTCCTTGTTTCCTCTGTTCTTAATGGCAGGAAGCTGTTAAAAGGGATAACTGGAAGGGCTGCATGTTTGAAGACCACTTGAATTCAGAATAATCGTTCGACAGTAACAATGTGGATAGTAATTGTGTGTACCCTTTCTTTTCAGAGTGGAGCGACCCAACCAGCAGGGCTTCCACAAAGTCAGTATCGCTCAGGTCGTGAGTACTTGGGTTTCCAAAACACGCGTCTTTGGGAGCATTTGGCAAAGAAATGGTGCCGCAGTGCTAGGCAAATCTTGTTATCTCTCCTGCTCTTCAAAATATGAACCTTGACTCATTCTAATATGGAGTTTGTTTAGAGGGGAGAACGAGGTTTCCCACAGTAATCCAGGTAACAGTAAAAATGAATGAGATCATCATTAGACTCTCTAATGATGTAGACACATGCTGGGTCAATACCTGAGATAGGAAAACAACTGTGATTCTTGTCTAGTAGTTTGAGCACTGGGTGACTTCAGCCACAGACATCATTATCCACAATAGTCAGCCACCACTGACTAGGATGGAGAAAGGACACGTCTAAGCCACTGTGATTGGACATGAAATGTTGAGAATGTTGAGAGGCTTGCTCTGGCCATTCAGACTGAGACCTCACTGTTTGCAGGTCATCTGATGACTGTATATTAAAGACAAACAAGGGCAGCCAGGAAGAGATGGAATAAGAGATTACATGACACCACACTGAAGTTCAGAAGCCAGGGCCCAGCAATTCACTCAGCACCGTCTTCATTTTTTATTAATGTGAACCGAAGGAGGGATATGGAGAAACCAATTTCCTCAGATTAACCATTGTAGATTTTGTAATATTCATTTGTCCAAGAGTATATCAAGGGAGTATTTCTCTCACAACTCCTTTTATTCCTAATAATAGAAAATGGAAGTCGACTTTTCTGTGTGAGTAATAGTCACATACTTGAAAATTTTCAAAATGAAATAATTTATTACGTTGAAGTGGCCTAATGGCACACTTGAAGTGAATTGCTCACCTTTTGGAAGATCACGAATAATTGCGTAAAACAACTGGGAACCACTCCCAAATAGATGGAGTCTCAGAGAAAGTCAGTGGCGTTTCCGTGTTCTGGTTCTGTTTAGCAGCAAAGTACACAAAGCTCTGACCCCATCACTCATTCTCTTATTTGCTTTTCTGGCCTGATCTCTGCCTTCTAATTCTTTTTTTTTATTGTTAGTTTCAGGTGTACAGAACAATGCAATAGTTACCCTTTTCACCCTCACAAAGTAACAACCCCCCTCCCACCATCCACTGCCCTCCCACCCCCGATATCATGCTTATCTATTACAATTCCATTGAATCCGTTCCCGCACTCTACTCCGTGTCCCGAGGTTATATGTATATATAATTATAGTTGACATACAGTATTATTCAACATCAGTTTCAGAAATACAATGCGGTGGTCAGGCCTCTACATCAACTATGAAGTGGACTCCCCAAAATGGCATTGGTCCATCTGGCCCCCTAAGAAATGCTTACAACGTTATTGATTGTATTCCTCTGACTATCTTTTTCTATCCCTGAGGCCATATTGCAATTACCAATTTGTATTGTCTCATCCCTTCCCCTCTCCTTCATCCCCACCCCCTCCCAACTAACAACCCTCAGTTCTTCCTCTGTGTCTCTGAGACTATCTCCATCTGCCTTCTAATTCTAAGTTCAACTTCAGCAAACACGAATTCTCTATTTAAAGAAGCAAGAAAAAATAAGAGAGGGGTGAAATAAAACTCTAACCCCAATTTAAGAACCAAATTATATGGATACATGGAAATCAAAGTTGTCTTTAATATTGTTCATTTCAGCTTTTCCATTAATCACATTTTGAACTGCCCTCCCCTTCTCATCCTAATAAACAACAGATCTTATCCTCTTACCTTGCCCCACTCCCATCCAAAATCAATAAAATTCTCTCTCTCTCTCTCTCTCTCTCTCTCTCTCTCTCTCTCTCCCTCTCCCTCTCCCTCTCCCTCTCTCCCTCTCTCTCTCTGACACACACACATGTGCACACATGTGTGCACACACTTGAGCATTTAGGAAATCAATGCAGGTTTCCAAACATTAAAAAAAATACAAAAATATTTTCCCATTGTGAAATTATCTTACTCCTAAAGCCAGAGTATTAGGCTCCTGCTGTGAAATATGCTGATTTCCATATAGACCATAAAATACAATATTTCAGTAGTCGTAACTAACAGAAATCAACTCATGAATTATGGTTTATAGTTAGAGGCTGCATTTCCAGAGAACAGCACTTCATAGCACAGGAGTATACTATACTTTCAATAGGACCAAGGTTCTCTATTGGAAGCATCAATAAAAATAGAAGACACTGGGTCCAGTTTATGAATGAGCTGCTCTGTTTCACTGCTTGATCTAAAGTCTAAGCATTGTCCATCAGATTTTGGCTGGAGAAGTTCCCTTCTTATGGTAGCTTACGGGCTTAACACAGGGCAGATAAGAAGTATGATAATTATTTTGATTTTTAGCTTCCAAATGTTTATCAGCTTCACCATTACTATCATTCTCCCGTATTTTAGTACAGTGCGCTTTTTAAGACAGCTTCTAGGGTTTTCCATTTGGCAGGGTAATCCTTCAAACAACTAAGAACATTCTGAGTGTAGACAGACTGCTGGTGGCTGGAACTCGGTGGGAACAGTCCGTAAATTGGCCCTGCTGCTGGGGAGATCCTTTCCCATGGTCGGCAAATGTCCTGGATATATTCCTGCCATTTACTGCAGTAGAGAAAGATGAGAGTCTTGTAAAACAGAATCCCTTAATTACTGGGGTATTTTATTAGTTGCCCTCATCTTGGCCTCTTTTCCCTGGTTGACGAAATACAGATCTTCCATTTGAGCCTGGATTGTTTATCAGGACCGCATGCATGGGCATCAGGTCTGAAAACGCTGGCCCAAGTGTGTCTGAGTACAAGCTGGGAACCAGCCAGGCTCCCTCCAAGTTCTTGACAGCCACTGCTCTCTCTGCGCATTTGGGAGAAGTGGGACTTTTCTTGCTCAGTATACTCCATTGATGCACAGTGCTTTTTCTAGGGCATCCATCCGTGGGGTGGCATCCTACCTGGTCCAGCTGGAATTCTCATTGCCCATGAGGCAAGAGCATTAGACTGGGGGAGTTTCAAGACCGGGGTGTGAGTGTCTGTTCCATGGCACTGACCTAGTATTCAGAGGATGCGAGTTTAAAGCACAGGGGACTTTATTTTTATTTCAATGTATACCGATAAAGCCCCTTACAGGAAATTAAGCAAATTAATTAGCATATGTGTATACACATAGGTACCCACACAAACATTCGTCAGAATTCAAATGTGAACGGTTTTACGCTTTAGTAATTAAACGTAACAACATTAAAGTGCATTTAACTTTAACCCTTGATGGTATCTGGAGGAAAGAAGAACCAGCAGTTTTTGATTCCATCAGCCTCATGAGTCTGCGCTGTATTATAGTCTTGGAACAGGCTTCACCCAGGTCTCCTAAAGCCAATGGAGTTTCTAGCCTCCTTCATAAAAGGTCTCTGTCCCCGCAAAGAGGGTGGAGCACGGGCTTACAAAGGTCAAATTGTATTTCTCAGGCTGTGGAGTTGTATATTTGTACAGTCATGCCATGCCTGTTATGCTTCTAAAAGATGCATTTATTTCAGTTACAACAGCCAGGGATGTAATGGACACACCAGATATTGAATTACTTTCTGCTTTCTTAATGAAGCCATTAAGGCGCAATGGAGGAGAAAACTGACACCAAACCCAAAGAACTTGGATTTTCCTGAGTTGGATTGCTTCATCTGATTGATTATCACATCATGTCAATACAGTGGCTCTACAAAACTACACGACCTTGTTGGTATTTTATGGGCCATCCTAAATAGGAACAGATACAATATACTCAGTTGCCCTGAGAAGCATTTTCAGACACCATCCATGAACTCAACAGTATCCATCTAGTGACTCCTTGACTTCAGCTAATGTTGTGAGTACGACTGAGAAGATGGCAGCTCCAAATGTCCAGTTCTTTTGTTACACTTGGTTGTTAGCATCTGGACTCTGTCCAGCTGGAAACCATCCAGACCCTCTTTTAATGAAGCAGCTCCTGTGTTTTAAGTCATGCTCTCGAGAATACCTGGATAGTTTCTATGAAAGCCCAGTGGAAGGGCCTATGTAGCCATGATGCTGTTCTCTCCTTGCCATAAAACCAGTTCCTCCACTTAGGGCATTAGCTATAGGTTTGAAACCATCCCAGCCATTGACCCAGAGAGTTAATGAAAGGTGTTGGGAGACAGACTAGCTGTGGCCAGCCTTAGTTTACTTGTGGGTGACGGTATGCACGCCACATGAACAAATCCTTGGATACAGCATGAGTTAGGAGCAAAGGAAACTATACCATCACAGGAATGGCAGAAGTCTCAGAGGGCGATCACTGTGCTAGGCTCCACCCATGCCAGGTGTTTTTACATACGTCACCCTATTACCCTGGCAATCCATCTGGGAGGAGCTCCAAATGATTCCCATTTCACAGATGAGAAAAGCGAAGCTAGTGCACAGTCCCTCCACGTGAAGTGTTCACAGTCCTGTGGGAAGACAAACTGACCGTGCACACTTATCTTGAATGGACAGTTTGGCTATGAGTAAACGGAGGGGCTGAGTAAGTTATATCACTCCTTCGTGGGAAAACTTGAATGCAGGCTAAAGGTTGCGTAGACTCAAAGCCCTCTTCTTCCAGCCAGGCCACCCTCCCTCATGGTATCTGATGAGTTCAGAGATTTGGTGAACCACATTTGACCTTTTGAACCTGGACGCAACCTTCAAATAGACTTACAGAGTGGAATTTGGTAGGAAGGAGTCCCACAAGAAATTATATGTCTCTGCTTTAGGTGATACAAAATTGAATCAAAATTACTTCAAAGAAAGCATTCTTCCTGAACTGTTCTCTATGTGGTATGAAGATTTCATTACCATAGAGAATAGAAAGATTATTAGAATGTTTTCCCATTTGGTATAACCAATAACAAGCCTTATATTATTTCCGAGATGGATTTTGAATCCTCCCCCCCACCAAAAAAAATCCCTCACGTTCGTTACAACCCTGACCATCCTCCTGCCAAAACTTTCATCATCGAAAAC